GCACGATGCGGGCAACCTCTTGGTTCTTGTCTAGCAATTTTTAATGCAAAAAATCCTGCCCATTTCAGAAAATTTTTGCTCAGAAAACACTCTGCAAACCCTTTGTTTTTTGAACATGGTTCGTTTCATGATGACGGCAAAATGCCATCTTCCATGATGGCCAAAAGAAACTGCACAAAACGCTTTTTTTTTATTTAAAAAAATGAGCAGGTGAGGAAAAGTTTTCTTTTCCTCTTGAAAATCCTTTTTTGGAAGCTGAGGAATTAAAGCACATTAGGTTTTTCTCAAGATTGAATAGCTTATTTCTAAAAAGCATGATCAACTCTTCTCAGTGATATGCGCATCTCGCCTCAAATCCTCCGTTTCTCGAAAAAATGAGAACAAGAATGAAAACTTATGCTTTTCAAGAAAAAGAACAAGAATAAAAAATTTATGAACTCATGAAACGCTAATATAACCATTTTATAGTCAAGCATTCAAGAAGTTCGACACAGCAAGATAATTTGCTCCATAATCTGTACAAGTCTTTTTGACGTTGTTCGAAATATTATACATTCGACCATTTCTGAACTCTGACACCGTGTAGATTATGCTAAGCGTACCAAGGTTGTTAGTGTCTTTGCTTACTATAAGCACACGTCAATCAAAAGTTTTATAATCTAATTGTTGTTAACATACAGCAGAGTACAGTGTTGCCCAGAATTATATGTTTACCATAAAATGCCGTAATTTACTGGTAGTCGACGAATTGCTCTAAAACTTGGTACATCTTATGCTTATAAGAATATTGTCAGTCATCAGAACAAGCATCGTTTCGTTTTATTGAGAACAAGTCAGAACACGGCGAAAATTTAGGTCCACCTAAAGCTTTATTCGTTGCACTTATTAGCTTTGGAAATTACTTATGAGTAAAGACACCCAACCTAGCTCGGCCTTTTGGGTGGAGACATGTATATTTTCTAAAACAGCTTGAAAATTCCTGCTGCGGCGCACCATTCTGAAACGAGTCGTGAGCATTTTTACAGTGCGAAATTGGCATACTACAACATGGGAAGACCGCCTATAGTTGAAATCAGCCCGAAAAAGATGCTAGGAATCGAAATAACATTATACCGAATCTTTTCTTAGTAACAAAAACTCAACAGAGTGTATTAGCACTTAGATGATGACGCGTTAATGCCAGTAAGTCAATTACGCTGCTTTTGCACAAAAAAAGTAAATAGCACGGTCCACATTGATGACGAGGGTCAAGCAAGGAGTTAGCACACATCGCTGGTTACGACCCGCCCTCCCCCTAATTGCTATCTTAATAAAACCCCCCGCCCTGAATTATATACCTAAGATAGCTTTACCTGAAGGCCCTGTCAAACATAATAAGCAACATATCCATAATGAGCATGTCAGTTGACCTGTAGACAAAGTTTCAGCGAATTCTGAAGATTCAAGATACTAGACTATCTAAGTGAAATGGTCATTATCCAACATGATTTAGTTTGTTTCAAGGTAAATCAGCTATCCGTTTTTGCACTTAAGACAAAGCACTACTCCTTCTTTGTCCATTTCAGAAACCACGCTCAAAAAGACCTCCAAACTGTGAAATTAGAGGTCATCCAAAAGCACGTTTTTCCCATTTTCCGCTTTTGATGGCTGTGCTTTCACCAACTATTACTCAGAGCAAAGAAAATAAATCGGGCTCAAATCACTCCTGTGAAAACTAGGAGATATAGGCTATCGATTTATATAGATTACGTTCGCTAAAAATGTTTTTTTACATGTAGTTAATGGAGTGTGGCAACCCCTAAAAAGTTGTGGCTGCCACAGTTTTAAGGGGATGTGCCACATCTCAACTATATCAAAAAACATTTTTAGCGAACAGTATTTATATGAAGCGATAGCCTAAACCTCGTAGATTCCATAGAAATGTTTTAAGCATGATTCGTCTTCTTAGCTCTGAGTAATATTTGGTGAAAGCACAGCCATCAAAAGCGAAAAATAGAAAAAATGAGATTTTGGTTGGCTTTAAATTCCACAGTTTGGAGGTCTTTTGAAGCGTGATATCCGAAATGGACAAAGAAGGAGTAGCGCTTTGTTTTGAGTGCGCAAACGGATAGCTAGTTCACTATTGAAACAAAGTTAACCATGTTGGAAAATGACCATTTCACTTAGGTAGCCTAGTATTCTGAATCTTCAGAATTCAAACTTTGTCTACAGGGTTTGATTGACATGCTAATTATGCATATGATACGAATATCATGTTATCACTATTATCAGATTACCCAACTACGACCCGCTCCCCTTTTGACTCCTCGATACGACCCCCCAGGCGTGCCACACCCTACGCGTGTCCCTGTTGATGACCACAGCTGAGTATAATTATTTGGAATAAGCTTTTAGAGCTGATTTAGACTAAACATGTACGGTTCTTTTCAAAAGGCCTCGCTAAGTTAGGTGCCTTTCGTTGTTAGCTAGACACACATCCGAAAGTGTTGAACAGTTGCTTTAGTCAAGCTGTGTCGTAACTCCAAATGAATAGATTAACCGTTTTTTGACTCAAAGATGCCTTCACGTGCATTTGCTCCGCACATATAACTAGGAAATCTTCTGTTTAAGTAGGAAATTGTGCAGTTCCGTAATCTTATTTGTGTTTGGATGCTCTTTGACGTGCACGTTAGGGTTGTTTCAGACTGCCGCACTGACCGCAGCAGACTGCAGCAGACGGCAGCAGACTGCAGCTGACCGCACTGACTGCAACGGCCGCAGCGGCTGAAGCTACAGGTGGAGAGGACAATAGTTCTGGCTCAAACAAACACCAATATATTAGGGTGAACGGTAAAAAATGGGACAGCTTGATTTTTATTACATTTTGAGATTTTTTGCCCTCACCAGTAACAAGCAGGCTGCAATTCAAACGTCGCTTACATAACCGACCTTCGCCTATTATTCTGGCAACGCGTTACCGCTCCTCTCTCATAACCGTACGCGTGGCGTCGTGAAGAACTCGGACGGGGTATTTTGAACAACTCTCAATCTTGCACTGCTATACCGTAAAGTCGTAAAGCAAATGACATACCGTTCGAAAGAGCTTTTCATGCTCTTTTGAACGATATGTTAAATGCCTAAGATTTCTTCTCAATTTCAGAAAGAAGAACGAAAAAAACCTGAAAATAGCTATTTTTGGCGCAATAAAAACCCAGAAAATCATGTTTTGCCCTATGTTTTCCGAAGATAGATAAAATCTGAGGTAAGTTGCATATGGATGGATAGAGCGTAAAAAGATCTATCAGATGGTACCTAGAAAACATGCGTTCACTTGCAAAGAATTGAATAGCGCGTATCTTTGTTCTCGAAGCTGATAATGGCCATATTTCCTGACATTCAAAGTTGAGACTACCAAGCCGTCTGGTTTTGGTGACTGTCCCACCACCCACTCCAGCAGTGGTACTTTGGGTGGTCTCACATGTTTCATTGCGCAGATACTGCTCAAACTTCATAATTTACCGAAGTGACTAACTTTGCATTTCAGAAGTATAAAAGTTATAAATTATGTAAATGACCTTATATAGGTATTATCTGAAAGAGTATAGCATATTCTAACATCTATCAAAATTGGGAAATCTAATCACTTCTCTTTCTTGAGAAACCTCCAGTTATTTCGTAAGTGTCCCATTTTTTACCGTTCACCCTAATATATATACCTAAAACCAAAAGACAACGCGGGCTAGAATGTTACGAAACGGATATATGCAATGATAGGAGGAATTAGAACAAATACGAGCATACGAAAGAAAAACTATCCAAAAAATTTCATTGAGAAGAATTCTGATGAAACTTATAATCTTCTTATGCGTAAATCACGGTGTTTTGATAATCGCGGTTGCTTTTTCTTTTACGAAAGGAGGCAGCGACCGATGCGGTCAGTGCAGTCAGCTGCAGTCAGCTGAGCTGCAGTCTGCTGCAGTCTGCTGCGGTCAGTGCGGCAGTCTGAAACAACCCTTATGAGGAGATCCCTAAATTTTTCCTGCTGAAACAAATTGGCATTGAATCGCAAGCCTAAGGTCCATTCCTGCCCTAAAGTACTTCTTCAGCTATCATTGTAAGCTCAAAACAGAGTAGAAACACTTTTTTGCACGGAAAAAATATGTACGCCGTACCAGCAAGTGTTCACAAAGCCGCCCTTTGCTTCAGTTCAAAATCTGAGTGTGCAGCCCAGTGATGATGTTGAGCACTTCCAAGATAGCGGATCAAGTGTTAGTTCACTTGGATTTTTAGCGGTTATCATCCACTAGATAATGGAAACAGCTTTTTTGTATGTTGGCACATGATTCACCTAATTTTTTCAGAAGTCCGAATTGACTTTGGCCCTTGTATTAATCAATTTCTGCAGGGTTGTTTCCGCAATTGCCTACTTGCTAAGATCTTTAGTAAATTGTAACCATGGAGTATGGACTCTTGTTCGTACAGGAATTGCTTACTCTTTAGTGCTTCTGAGGGCACTGCAGAAATAGACTAAAGGCAGAAGTTCGACCTTAGACTTGCAGTAAGATCCATGTCGGATTTGATTCCACAGCAAAAAGACAGTTCTTTTACTCATTCTCGCATCATCAAACATGAGAGAACGTCGCGTCGCTTCCGAACTAGCCGAATATTTGAACTGCAGGTTTCAGGAGCGGAGTGCATGTAGAAGCATCTTCAAGCTAAAAAAAAAGCAAATATTTGAAGGTACGACACAGTCTGACCAGAACTTTTGACACTTCTGAATGTGTACATATACCTAGAAAATTTCGGAAGTCAAATGGATAAAAACTCCAAATGGACCCATAATTTTGGTCAACCTTCGAGCCCTTCTCAAATTTTTGATTTTTTTTAAATCGAAGACCGTTTTGATGACTGATAGAAGGCTGGACATCGGCATTAGGATGAGCTACGACCCTTTTTGCACAGCCTATAATTTCGGCAAGCACTGTACACACTTTCCATTAAAGTCGCACATACATTTCCAGGGACTTTTTCAAAATGGCATCTTCTTCGCCTACGACCCACGAACTTATTTTGCAAGAATTGGAGATGGGACCCATTTGACCACAGTCGGTATCGAGCTTTTACGGCCTTTATACAAAAGGATTATAGAGAAGTTGCTTCAAGAACTAAATGAAGAATCGCTGCATCAAGACAAAGGGAAACAGTGATGAAATTCTATTAGGATCCGAAAGTTCTGTCGTTTCATTTTCAAAGATTTATAACTTTGCGCTATTCAAAGGATTTGCTTGCTTGGAATTTCATTACCAAGAACAAGTCTTTCGCTTTCAAACACTACTCTGTGAAACTTCTGTTTCACACTGGATGCGGACTTAAAAATGGAAAACTAAGACCATGCAAGCTTTGAGCATGTTAAGTAAGATCACCAAAAATCTGGAGCGCTGCAGAAAAATCTGAAATCTTTAGTACATATTTTTTTGGCCTACTCTTTGCAACTGTGAAGAATGTATGCTGTTTGGACGTCTTTGTAAGAAGCGATTTTTGAGAACATTGACGAATCAATTGACTTTGGCGTTTTCCATAGTAAACTCGAAATTTATAACTTTTCACAGAGGCGTCCAAAACAGCACAAACTTTTCACAGTTGCAAAAGAGTAGGCCAAAAAATATATGTACTGTCAATTTCAGATTTTTCTGCAGCGTTCCAGATTTTTGGTGACCTAAACGACAGAACTTTTGGACCCACCTAATAGAAATATCTAGCATTTTTGTACTATGCTCCTCAATGAGACATTATGTGTATGACAAATAAAGCTTCTTTGCTGTTTTTTTTCTGCCTAGCTCATACCAAACTTGTCGAGTCTGCGTGATAACCCTTGTTTAATTGAGGCTCGGCTACCATACGTCTTTTCTTGGAGTGGGCTAACAAGCCCTAAATGGCATGCCCGATTGAGAACATGCATATGTTTGAGTTGTCGTATCAATCATTCTTCATCGAAAAGCTGCTCTACCCTTTCCTGCCTATGGGGTTGGCGATGGGCATGGGAGGGCAGTGTGGAGGTTCGGTGGGCCTTAAGATGTTTTTGGCTTGTTTGACTTTTTTCTGAGTCAAAATATAGCTTTCAGCTTAAAATCCTTCACAAAGTTCCTACCGTAGTCCCACAGTAATGAGAAATCTAACAAGAAACAGAAGGATCTAATGTAAGATGAAACTCGTTCCACAGAACGGTAGCTCAAGTTCTACGAAAGACGTGGAAGCAAGGGAGTTATCAACGATCAAACAGTGGGCACATTTTTAGGACCCCTATATATTGAGTCATTACGGAAGTATTTTTGAAAGGGCGCCATATTTGATGGAACAAAGTTTCCTAAAAAACCTCAAAAGCATTCGATGCAGCATCTCATTTTCCTTCTAATGGTCATAGTTATCATTGCAGTATAATGAATGAGCTTCCAGAAAAACCCAAATCCGCTACGCATGCTTCTAAGATGCTCAAGTTTCGAAAATTTTTAAAACTTTTATGTCCCTCCGAAGGAGTATAAATAGTGGGTGGATAAACGAACCCTACAGAAAACAGCACGACTTTTCTTTTTTTCCAAACTTCGCCATCACTTTCTTAGAAATTTTTTTACTAAAACTTTTCTTGAATTGGATTTTGGCAGGCCTGTTTCAGATACAAAAGCACCAAACCAATAAATTTATTACAAGGCAAATAAGAGTTTACGGAATCGGAATATTTATCTGATTTTTCAGTACAGCCCGGGGCACGTGCGAAAATATAAAATTTGACAATTCAACCCCAGAGACTCCACAAAGCGGAAATAAAACATAGAAAGAGGAGAAAAAGCTGCACCGAATGACATCCAAGATGCTCACCGTTTGATGTTTTGGAGGTATGAGTTGACCAAGTATGGAAATTGGTAGCATTGATTTAAATTCGAAAATATTACGGGTTAAGGAATGAGAGAAACACTGTTTTGTATCCTGTAGGGCTTGTTCCATCCACCCTTTACTCGGAACTTTTTGGAGGTTTGACATGAGAAAAATCGTGAAACTTGAGCATCCCAAAAAACCTGAGCGGCAAATTTTGATAATTTTTCGCTCGTTGGCACTGCAGCAATGAAGTTACAACTACTAGAGAGATGATGAAATGCTGCACCGCATGCTACCAAGCTCTCTTAGGAATCTTCGTTCCATCGATTGTGGTGCTCAGAATTATCTTATATATAAAGCTGAATGTCTGTTTGTCTGTATGTCTGTCTGTATGTCTGTCTGTCTGTCTGTACGTATGTTCTGAATAGAAAATTCCATTTCTGAACCGATCGGGACCAAACTTGGCATACATACAATTCGGGCCCCGGCGGGTGTCATAGGCTACTTTTCGTCATCGATCGATATCGATTTTATCGATTTTTTGCAAAATTTGAGCTACGGGGCTGGGAGTTGGCACAGGGGGGTAATCGAGTAGAAATTAAATGTAATCGAGCATGCTGATCACCCCGTGGGGGTGATCAGCATGCTCGATTACACCCCTCTGCCAAATTTCAGCCCCCTAGCTCAAATTTTGCAAAAAATCGATAAAATCGATATCGATCGATAACGAAAAGTAGCCTATGACACGCTCCCTGCCCCGAAATATATGTGTGCCAAGTTCGGTCCAAATCGTTCAGAAATAAAAATTTCTATTCCGCACATACGGACAAATTTTCGTTTTCTTTTTTTTTCGTTCAGACAGACATACAGACAGACAGACATTCAGCTTTATATATAAGATTCAAGACGTCTTGAAGACAGATTTTATATTCAGCATTTATTTTTGTTCATACAAGGGTTACTGCAAATAATCAATTTTGGGCGGTTCCATTTGACGCTCCATATCCCGGCGAAGAGGTCTTCATAAGACCTACCTTTTTCACCATCTTATAAGGGAAGGTTCTCAAGGACTCGCGCCTTGTGGGCGGTCAGCGACGACCTTACAATTGCTTAGTGTGTGTGCAATTGTACTGTAGTCAAGGGCCGTTGGCAGTTAACGTGGGGCGCCCGCACGGTTTCCAGTGCTCGCCGCTTGGCAAGGAAGGTCGGCCGCTTGCTTGCTATTAAAGTAAATTTATGCGGGATATCTTGACCATTTTTCTTGAATATGTTAATTCCTTTATTCTGGAGCATGGGTCGATGCGTGCAGCATTCGCCAGGCTTTTCATGGGGAAGCCCACACCATCACTCTTGATGACTGTGGCCTCACACAGGTTCATTCCAGCCTTGCTGGGGAAGGAATTGTTGTTAAGAAGATATGTCAACGCTTAGCCAGCCTAAACGCTGCGTCGTATCTCAGCAGGTACCGTTTGCGCTCACAACGTGTAAAAATAGTGAGCAGAAGACAGAGGTCACTGCTGGCCGCTTGCACGGTAACAGGTATTGCTAACCGATAAGGCGAAAGCGTTGCAGGCCTCTCGCACGGTAACATTGCCTGCCGCTAGGACAGAAACGGCTTAACATTAGTAACTCATCTTCCCAAGAATGTTTAGACTTGCTGGGCTTTTCCTCTGGCTCCGATGAAGCGGGACTTTTCTCCTCTGAGTCTGACGGTGGTTCAGAAAGCTCTTCTAGAAAGCTCATTATAAACTTCTTGTCACTTATAGATTTGTCGTACGAAATATTCACTAAAAAACAATCTTATCACTTTTATTTAACAGTATCTCTCAAGATGGCCCTACAAATGATCACCCTTTAAACTGTGCGCATCCAAATAAACTAAGCTAGGCACAGGTGGCTAGGAGCAAGCCGGATATCGTTTTTGGAAGAAAAAGCAAAGAGGATTTCGTTTTTGTGGCAAAAAAAAACACAACTTAGGTCTTTTAGTCGACATTTCGTCTTTTTTTAGAGGTTTCTTACATTTAGGGTTCAAGATCAAAGGGCATTTCGTAGTTTTGGGGATTTCGAGGTGGTCTCCATTTTTTCCGGTAAGCCACCTCGTCCCGAGCCCTGCTATAGTACATCCAGAAGTCTGGAAGAATGTAATAGATTAGTGAAATTTTGGCTAAAAGGAGATTCACTAGTGCGTACGCTTTGCACATCATTTGGACCCGTCCAAAAGTTCCTAGTGTCTTTTAGATCTAATCGCATACCCGTGAAATGCAGGAAGTTTCATTTCAGAATGTATTCAATGCATTCTCCCTCTTCCAAGCTAAATAATTGAAAAAAATTATGAACTCTCAATTGAGCTCCAAATTTCCAACTTTCTACCTCTCCAAATTCAGCTGATATCATAGTTTCCAACTTACTTCAATAAAGTTAACTAACAGTAGAAAGAGCAAAGCTTGTTCTAAACTCTTTAGCTGCCCTTTCGTTTTTCTGAGGGAGTTTTCTACAAGTATTGAACAGCGAAGAAATACCGTTATTCACAATCTCACCAGATCTTGGAAAACTTCAAAAGTTGAAATTTTTGAACTTGATTACTGCTAATATTGACTCTCAAAAAGAAGGGCATCCAGGAATAAAAAGGTAGAAAAATCTCAATTATTCCGTGCACCCTTATGAAAGCAAAATACGTTGACTGCAAATTTCGCATTTATCTCAGAGAAAAGCAGCAGCCAGAATGACAGGTAGGAACTGCTTTGACTATTACCTGAGTCGCCGATCGTTAGTTTCACGAGATCAATATGATCGAACATGAAATAGGCTCACTCTGAGAAATAATTTATAGAAATACTGAAACGCTGGACATTTTATTCGCTAGTCATCATAGCTTTTTCAAAGCCTGCAACAAAAATTCTGAAAATAGCTAGTTTAGACAGCAAAAACGGTATGGAAACTCCGTCGGATATCTAAACGCTTCCCAAAAAAGTTTCTAAGCGTAGGACTTTGAAAGAGGAAGATTTTTCGCATTCAATTTATTATTGTTTGAAGAGCCTGTGCAATTTTATCGTACTAGAGAGTATGAAGCGACGTCAGACGCGTATATAATTCCAAAAAACGGCAAGAACATTCAGACCTATTATAATACGCTTGATTCACCGACTATCAAAATACAATATGATTTATTTGTTGTTGAAAACTTGCATGAGCGTCCTTAACGATACCAGTGCAAATTGAGGTATTTCCCGAAATAAAACTTGGACTTTGAAAGGTCTATTCAAGAGCAGTTTTCGAATTTATTGATGTGTGACAAGTTTTCCTAAAATCAAGGGTAAAAGCGATCTAATCAGCAGAAGTTTGAAAATTGCATAGCATTCAGGAAAGCGCTTTCATTTCAAATGATGACGGCGTTTGACTTCGTACATACTCTTCAAGCTTAAGAGTTTTTGAGATTTTACACCGCTGAAATGAGCCTAAGGCACAGATGCTTACGAAAAATAATCAAACTT